CGTTAAAACTTTGATCCATAGCTGGACAATAGTCCATAGCTAAAATAATGAAAAGAATACGAGAAAGAATCGACAATAAATATCGTCAACGAATTTTCGATACGGAAATAAGTAACGTGTGAATGAAATTAATTCACGCAACAGCGCCATCAAATCTTCCGTAGTCTCTTCTCGCTGAATATTACATTTTCCGCCGACGTTTCCGGTGAGAACGCGACGGCGTCGTCGTTGCCGTGACTAGATTAGAACCGACGCGTAACTTCGACACGGCAGCGTACCGTAAATTTCATAATTCATGGAAATAAACGCACACACGCGACTAATAGTATTACAATTAATAACCGGAGCATTTTGCTACGTGCTGCACGTAATTCGCACCCGTTAGCTTCTCGAAAATCCTTTTGTATTCTCGCATCTCACTCATTTAATTAATAAGAATTATCAATTCATGCTAATTAATATAGCTAGCTTAATGATAACTTTGCATTCTGAAAATAAGTCATATTAATAAATGTTTTTGAGATGATTCTTCCACTCCATTGATTTTAAAGCTGATTGAATTATCTTGCTTCTTAAACAAGCTGAATGGATAATCGCAAACTACTTTCTGAGATCTGAAACAAAATAATTCTAGTAAAATCCTGATTAATGCTAACAAAAAGATTCATATTTCTTAAATAATGCTCTTTATGTTATTGGGCGAATATTAGCGAGACGGATAAGACTGAGATTTATATTTTTACAGGCCGAACCAGCGTTAATGTACGATAGTGTACAGGTGTTCGCGGTAGGATTACGTACTCTGGAGCAATCCCATGCTTTAAGGCCCGCCAATATTTCCTGCGAGCTCGAGCACCCCTGGGACGGCGGCTTGTCTCTCACCAACTATATCAACTCGGTAAGCTTCTCTCTTTTACATTTCTCTAAAACAATACCCGCACATAATGTATAAACTACATAATATCAATTTGGAATTATCTAAATTATACCAGATGCTATATATCTGAATGGTATAATAAGGTATGGTATAATGGTATAATTTAATAAATATAATGTCACAATAATTGTTATTATATTAATGTGAATTAAACAAAAGCAAAGCTGCAAAATATATCGTAAATGTACGTATAAATAAGTACATATTATGCAAATTTTATCTGTTTCTATCCATAAAGATACATTTGAAATACTGTAGAAATATACCGTCTTTATGGCATAGAATGATGGTTATTCGCATCACATGCTACGATATTTTCACCGTAAATAACGCCCATGGGACATATTTTAATTTTTCATAACCATTAACATACATTCAACATTGCGACATCACTATCTATCTCTGGACTTTTCTCGAGAGTAGGCTCCGACGAAGGAAAGAAAATCCGCTCCCGGAAGCTCCTCCGTCGCTCTTTACCAATGCCACTTACCAGATCCGCTCGAGAGACACCCCGAGGGGGAAGAAACGTGCTGCGGTAGCTTACTGTAAATTACCGCTACTAAGATCTGGCTGGCGCCCAAAATAAACGATATCCAATATAGTAGCAAGCATTCATTTCCGCTCGATTCGTGTAAATATTTAGTATGGCGCGAAAGGGAACATCGGATATCGTCGTTTATGTGCCAAACACACGAAATCTGGAAGATCTTGCTACAAAATTTTTCAAATTTCCTCTTTATTATTATTTTACTATTCAGAAATTATAGAGAGGTGTCTATACATCTATACGTTTGCATTTACGGAAATACGCATTTATAATTTTTAACACATTTATTCGTTTTTATTTAAATATTTGAGCTTCCATAATGGAATCGAGATTAATTATCACATTATTATTTATTTGGATGAGCTGTTTCTAATAATTCCGCTTTGAAGAGAGCATGGTATCTGGTAGCGTGGGAAAATGCGTTTCTATAAATTTCAATCAACATTTTGCGCGCGAGCGCATGTTGCTCGTACGAGACACGGGGCTACATAACGTATAGTATAGTGCGACGGATAAATTGTTTAATACCATGATGGACGATTCCAAAGCTGTCACAGACAGGGGCCACAAATCCTTCCGTGATGTTGTACTTCCCCTTTTCAACCTGTACGACATTCTTCCCATTTCCGTGTCCGACAAGGTACGATATCCGGCTGCAGTGTTTCGGGATTGATATCCACTAGAGACAGAGAGAGAAAATCGCGATATTGTTCTTTCATATAATATATTACACTAACACAATAAAAAGAAAATACATGTGTGGACATCACATAAAAGTTACATATTATAATTATATTATAATTATAACGTATGTTCACATTCTACATTGATTATTTTGCCTTGAGATAAGTTA